TTCTCCTTGTCTTTGTTCAGTGGTTATTTATCAGTCACTGCATGGAAGTACTTTGGTTTCCAGGCCTTAGGATGGGTCACCTTATGAATTTAATATGGATTAAACAGCATCTGAATATGACTTGCCATTGAAGCTCACACCATTTCCTAGGCCCAGTTTATACCTTTGCTTGATCTTGCCTGAGTGAGGTTTAAGGAAAGACCTGTAAAAATCCTCCATAAGGGATATCTGAAGCAGGCACAAAATTCATTAGGCTTTGCTCCTTTTCAGAAAGTTTGCGGGTGGAGAAAGCCTTGATTTAGTATAAAGGCCCCTCCCTGTGTTATCTTGTTTCCTCTCCCAATCCTCACTTTCTCAATCTCTGCTATTTTTTGTGGGGAGATGAAGAAAATGCAGGGCCTGTCTACACATGCACTTTAATGCACATTAGCCTATTTTAATGTGCATTAAAGTTTCACTAAAAAAGCATGCTTTTTCCTTAATATGCATTAAAATAGGCTAATATGCATTAAGCGGCACTTAAAAATTGTGGGCATTTATACCTATGCTCAGGGAGGTGGGGGGAGGGGGAAGAGCACTTTAATTAGAGCGGCTGTAATTAAAGTGCCGGAAGCATCGTGTGTATTAGTGTTTCCACGCTGAGAAATGGCAATGGGGGTGCTTTAACTAAAGCTCGTTGAACAAGCTTTATTTAAAGCACCCCCACTGCCATTTTTCACCCCAGGAATGCTGATACACATGATGCTGGAGTCTGCTGGAGCACAGTAATTACCACACTCCAGCTGACTCGATTAATTGAATGTGCTCTGAGTCACTGTAATTACAGCGTGTCGGAGCAGCCTTGATGCATGTGTATAGGCACCTGCAGTGGCCTGAAAATTGCTTTAGTTTTTGCTTTTCTAGCAGCTGGATAGTTGTTGTCTTGCCCACTGGCTTTGGTGGTTGGGTGTGGGGAAAAGAGAGATTCCAGGTATATAATGCATCTGTATGGATGTGCTGAGCCAACGCGGATGCAGCATTGTCTTGGACCAGAGCCCTGGGCTGTAACCCACAAATTTCACAGCTCTATCCTTCCCCTGATCTTCTCATTCTCCCTCCAAACCAGCTGAGCTTATAAACCCCTGGGGGCTTGGCCAAGCCAAAGGGGGTAGAGCAGGGGTGGGCATAAAGGTAGATCCAGCCGGTTGCCCAGATCCCGGCTGCACGGCTCCCGACTGGTCTGCATGGAGACTCTGGGAGTGCTGGACCATGGCAGAGGGGCTGCAGAATCGGGGCTTTGCCCCAGCTCTGGCCCCACACCTTCATGACTCCTCACTTCCCAGGTCTCCATGGGGACTGGCTGGGAGCCACATTGGCAAGGCGGGGAGCTGTTCTGGGGCCAGGATTTTGGGGTGGTGACAGTGTGGGGCTGGGGCAGAGCCACAACTTGCTCCATGCACACCCCTGCCTACAGAACCTGTGCTCATCCTGGGGGTGTATGGGCAGTGCTGGCCCTGCACTGTCACCACCCCAAGATCCAGGAGTGTCTCCCTGGCCCTGACTGGCCATCTTGTTCCCATCCACTTCCTCATCCCCGCTGCCTCACCACGTGCCCTGCATGTGTAGGTCCAGCCCAGTTGTGGGTGCAGGGCAGACTGGCTGGGGTGCCTAGGCAGTGGGGTTGGATCCAGCAGTGGCTACCAGAAGGATCTGCCTCTGCAGGGGCTGCTGGGAAGTGTAGTATGTCACGGGTCCCTCCCAGCCCACAGATTGGACTTTGTCCACCCCTGGTATAGAGCACAGGCTCATCCTTCCCCATAAAAAGGCCCTGACATCAGAGGACTCGCACTGATGTATGACCCCACATGTGGAATGGGATCTACTGTGGAATCACAGTCATGGCTTGCCTGCTTTTCTAGGTCTTCATCTCCCAGGCTGGTATCCTGAGGCATTCTTCTTCCCTGGGTTCCTCGTGGAGGAGTTGCACATCATGCAATAATCTATCTTGCCCGTAGTGCCTCAATACCAAAAAGAAGCTGTGAAGGTAGAAAAGACTGTATGCCAGCTGAGTGGGGAACATGCCAAGCTCAATATATCAGCTATTCCTCAATACGAGGATATCCCCTGTGGTGGGGAGGGGTAACATCCCTAGCGGAGGCCTGTGTGTGACATCTTTTAACATGGGGAAGTCAGTGTGCAAGCGACAACCACACAAGCTTGACAGGAGGGAGCCCTGAACCCAGTGGCAAGGAGGTCCAAGACAACCGGAGACCTCCATCCTGCTGCAGCCCTCATCCACCTTCAGAGCCACAGAGAACCAGTAAGCCCTCAAATATGCCTCTTCTGCTGTTGGGGTCTTCAAAGGGTCAATGATGTATACATGTGTACTTACACATGTAAGGCATCACTATTTTGCTTGCAGGAAAGCTTGTATCCCATTTCACGGCAAGCAGAGGGAGATAAGTTTTAAGTGGCCGGACTCTTGATTTATGTGCCTCCAGTGTGTATTGATAGCATTAAAGGATGGGGCTTTTAAGTTTCAACAGAAAAAAAAAATCCTGTCTTTGAAATCTGTTATTTCTTTTGCCTGGTCCAACTGTAAAGTATGTATGGTAGTGTCTCTGAGCATAGGTTTGTTTTAGCAATATATATTGCACGTTGCTGGGATTTTCATTTAGAATGGAGCGCTGTCCTCTGCAGATGATGAACAACTCAGAACAACTCATATCTTCAGTGAAAATAACCTGTGTCAAAGCAGTAAGAAATTCTGCAGAACAGAGAGGAGACTTGCAGGATCTGGCTGGGAGAAACTGAAATAAATGAGAAGATTGGTGTGTTTCAAAAACCAACAAAAAAAAGCAGTTCTTCATGCAACACTTCCTGCCTAGCAGCAGCAGATGGGGAAAACACTCAGGGCACATCTATGTGACCTCGGGGGGTGTTGGAAAGGCCACTGTGCAAACCCCTGCCTTGTTGCTCCCATCCCTGTGCTCAACATGCCAGAAAATGTAATGTAGGCACCGTTAGAGTGAGACTGAAAACCCATGGCTGCCCTGAAGAGCACGGACATCTGAGAGCAGCACTGGGCACACTAAGAAGTGGCCATGTGTCATTTTTGGGATTCCACATGATTGGGATGCCAAAATCAGCACTGCCCCTGGCTGTGTTGACATGCTTCCACACTGCTGCCACCCCCGTGGATGCAGAAAGCTGTGAATCTGGTTTGCTGCAAGGGGTGCATCTTGCTCCAGGATCTAGATCGCCAGAGCCCAGTTCCAGGCTTCAAAAGGCTAATACTCTGGATTTTGTTTTGCAAAACAATCTATATGTGGATGTAGTCTGATCTGCAGAGACATGGGAGCAATGGGCCTAGCTCCTGTTAGAGTGAATGTACAGAATCAAGCCCTTTGTTCCAGTGAGATGAGTGACATGCTCCTCCTGCACAATTGTCATTCTGGCCAGAGCAAAATGTTATCTCGTGAATCACAAATGGATTAGCAGATAGAAAGGTCAGTTCTGCCAAGTAGTCTGAAATGTTTAGTACTATTCAAATACTATTGTGCTTCAAATGTTCAGTAACAAGAGATAGAGCATACACTGATAACATAGAGGCTTATATCTTGGAAAGAGGTAACTGTAGGATTTAGAGATTATAGCAGGCAAATGAATGACTATTATGCATCTGTGAGACCTAATTATGGATCACAACCACTTTGTGTTAGGAATTATACAAATATAGAACAAAAAGACGGTTCCAGATCAAAGAGTTTACTGTTTAAGATACTTGAACTAATTTTATATGAAGTAGCATGAGTACAAGAACTAGTTCTGGAAGCAATATTTGTTTGGTAATGTCTTTTATTGGATCCATTATATAGTTGGGAGAAATGTTTGACAAGCTTCTAGGCACAAAATGCCCTCTCTCAGGCTAGGAGAAGGAGAAGATACAGCATCAGCTAAATGCCAAGTAGACCAGTTCCCTTGGGCATTGCAGTACAAAAACACCAGAAGTAATCCTTTCACAGCAGCATGGGTGTAACAGGGGGCCTCCTCGGGGTTGGTCTGCCATTGGCCCACCCACCTGTTCCTGGGCTAACCGCCTGCCTCACTTGCCTGCCATGCCTTGTTGTCTCATAATTGGTTCTTATCAGGCAGGAGGCTGCCTATTCTTACCCTGATGCCAGGGGGCTCTATCTGCAGCTTCATTCCTTCCCTACAAGCCTTGCAGATGGGATCCAGGTGACACAAATACCCCCGGCCTACAGCCAGACCAAGCTTAGTCCTCTTTGTCAGGCCTCATACACGTACACGTTCATACCGCCCTCTCTCACTAGGGCCTGTCACGCTCCACCCCCTCTCACAGGGTCTCTTTCATGCATCAACAATTTATACTGCCTTGCTCCCTCTTGGAGTGGGCCCCTTCAGTCATAGGCTTTATCTAGCGCACACCTTGGGTGGCACACGTACTGTCTTTAGGGCCTCTCCCATGACCCTCACTGGGGTGGTGGCCAGCCAGTTACCCAACCGGGGCCAAGCTTGACCTGGCCCCTCCTGGGGCAACTCTGCACAAACTCTCTCACACGCACACTGGGCTCCTAGCCCTCTGGTTTCCCCCTCACTGGGGCTCCACCTCTCTACCCCTTCATTGAGGCCTACCCTTACTGGGGCTGTATATCTTCTACCCCCCTCACTCGGGCTACGCGGCTTCCTTCCCCAGTGGGCGCTCAGGTGGCTGTAGCCATGCCTGGCCCCAACCACTACCCACAGTGATGTGGGGGCTGGAGGTTATTGAGGTGCCCTGACCTGCCTTCCCCCAGGTTGGTAACTGGCCTGGTATTTTTCTGGGGGTTCCTGCACCATTGAGAGCCTCACCAGGCCACTCACTCCCGGCGGGGTGCAGCTTTAGGTCATGCCCAGGACCACAAGCATCCTGCTCCTACCTGCAGATGTTCTCATACAGCTGCTTAGCCAGGCGATGTTTCTGCCTGCCTACTAGCAGCGATTTTTCTCTTTTTATATAGGCAGCCTGTATCTCAAAATGACCACCATGATCAAGCGCCTGCTGGCTGTTTGGCTCAGCCCTTAAAGTGGCAGGTACCAACAGTGCCCTGCCACAATGGACACATCTCAGCAGGATAAATGTATTATTAAAATGTTGATAAAGTTAATACTGATAGGCAGGAAAATCCAGGGTTAGCATGACAAGATGTGTGCATGCAGAAGTGATGACATAACCTGGGTAGTGCCAGGTGGAGCGGAAGTGTCTGGCATACCCAAAGAGAACAACTTTGGCCAGTCTGTCAGTTGTAGACCTTCCAGTGGGAGGTAAAGCTCTTGCCAAACTCACACGTTATAGCTTATGGCACTAACCTATAACACCATTGTTACATGTTCCCAATAAAGACATACCATACCCGCTGCACGAATGCACTTTGACCAAGTCCTCTCCCCTCAAGAAGACCGACTCTTTATAGGTCATTTGAAAGATGCGTTGATGATCATCTTCGAATGCTACAATGAAAATAGATTTTTATTAGTCAAGTGACCCTTTTTCTGGCAGAGAAAAATAAAATTGGATCCAGTGTTTGGAAACTGCAGACACATTTTAAATGAGAAGCAAGGCACACATGTTTAACCCTGAGAACTGAGATATGGAATACCTCATTTGACAATGTGGTGGATTCTACATTGTTGGAAATTAAATCAACTTTGGGTTATTTCTTTCCAAAAAATTGTGCTGTAGGTTAACAACCAGTCAAGGGCTTCATGGAAGAATATTGAATAAGCTTCTCTGGGATGTGCTATTCAATACGTTACACTAGACCAGTGGTTCTCAACAGTTTTCAACTTGTAGCACCCCTCAGGGAATGCCAGCTCTTGGATTTCACTCTTATTTTGACTACAGAAAAGTAAGAGAGCAATTCTTCTGTTGCAAAGAAATCAGAAGGATCCCAGCAGGCCAGAACGTTTATAACACTATGGATTCCTATTTGAAAACTTTGGGTTTATCTTGTGAATCCTGTTTGCACCCCTGATGGTTTTAACTCTTCCTGGGGCCTTTGGAAGGATCTCAAGATATCCCAGGGTGCTACAGCACCTTGTTTGACTATACAATTAAGAGTGGTTCATTACAAATCTACATGTTATCCCATAAATCAGTGCAGCAATATATGACATATAGTTACACCCCCAAAATTAAGGCACAAATCTGGCAATATTTGGGGCACTGAACACACATACGGATGTTTTACTGACTTCTGCAAAATAACTACAATGAATAGACATATTCAATAATATATTGAGATAGAAAGTTGTAGTAATTAATATTCAGTGTATCTTTTCAGTGCCTGGTGGGTCCCTTGTCTCATCAGAAATATTGGTTGTTAACAAGGGTCTTTAAATAATTGACTTTTATTGGAGCACAAGGGGTCAGGCAAACCACAGGGGCTGCAAATCCACCAAACATTCAGCATGAAATCTGTGGTTCCAGTAGCGAGGGTGTTTGCAGGGAGTTCACTCGGGGGGGGGGGTGGAAAACCCCCCCACACAGAAACACTTTTAAATCATTTTTTTTTTCTGAAGACCTTAAAGTCATTCAGGTGAAACAGCCCAGCAGAACAGGAAAAGTCGGTTAAACAAAAAACAATCAGGCATGCTGCCTTATGTACTTTCCCCAGTCCTCTGATTCGTGTTGCAGCGCATTGAGGTTGTATTTAACACCAGTCAAAGAAATCTACGGCCTGTTTCCTACGCGCTCAAGTGAGCCTTATGTGCATACGTGTGTACTGTGAGCACGCGCCGGTCAATTCTTAGGGAAACAGCATTCTCCTGGCTGCACAGTATCTAAAGTTTTCTAACTAGGGTAATTCTGCTGACAAAGACTTTTGTTATCAGCAGG